ATCTGATAAGGCCCATAATAGCGGACTCCCAGTTTAGTCGCGGCCCTTTGTGCTGTGGTACGCTGTCTGAATGGTCGTAGCTTCAGGTAGACATACTCACCTGGTACAAAACTTTCCTCACGCCTTTTCCCATCTGTGAAGGCTTTGGCTCGGTTAATTGAACCTTCGAGATTTCTCTTCAGCTCATGTAACATCAAATCTCGTTCCTCTAGTTCTCGACCAACCTCATCGTTGACTGTACTCCCCTCTGAATAATTGATCAGTGTTGGGGGTTTTCGCCCGTACACCAACTCAAATGGAGTCGTCTTGGTCGACTCGTGGTAAGTGGTGTTGTACCAATACTCAGCCCATGGTAAAAAGTTTTCCCACCGCTTTGGAAATTGATGGACGTAGCACCTCAAATACTGTTCAAGGGTTCGGTTGGTGACCTCAGTTTGTCCGTCTGTCTGTGGGTGGTAGGCTGAGCGCATAGATAATTTAGTCCCTTGCAACTTGAAGAATTCAGACCAAAAGCTGCTCATAAAAATCCAGTCTCGATCAGAGACGATGGATCGAGGTGCTCCATGCAGTTTCATCATGTACTCCGCGAATAACCTGGCAATCGACTTCGCGGTTTAAGGATGGGTAATGGGTATGAAGTGAGCATACTTCGTGAGACGATATACCACAACCATAACTCCGTCAAATCCATTAGAATTCGGTAGCCCCTCGATGAAATCCATGGTGATGTCTTCCCAGATTGCCTCGGGCACTGGTAGTGGTTGCAAGAGCCCACTCGGTCGTCGTGAGTCAGACTTAGTACGCTGGCAATCATCGCATCGTGCTATGTAGTCTCAGACGGTACTCTGCTGCCCGGGCCAGAAGAAAGTGTTGGCTATTCTCATCCATGTGCGATAGATACCCGAGTGGCCTCCAACCTTAGAGTCGTGGAAGTTTTGCATAAGCTGTTCGCGTAACTTCCCGCTGTCGGGGACATAGACTCGACCTTGATGTAGAAGTAGACCGTTGTGTAACTCGTAGTCGATGGCAGTTGTCTTTCCTGCTTCTATCGATTGGCGCAGTTCCTGACAATGGGTATCCTCTACTTGCGCCTTCCTGATTTCTTCCCAAATGGCCCAAGTAGGCCCAGTGATCGCACTCAACTCGGCCACGTCTGTTCGTCGGGATAGTGCGTCGGCTACTGCGTTCTGTCGACCTGGTCGATAGATTATCTTGAAGTCAAACCCCATAAGTTTAGACACGAACTTCTGCTGCTCGGGGGTAACAATCCTTTGCTCCAATAGGTACTTGAGCGGTTGTTGGTCGGTAACAATTTGAAAACGTCGACCTAATAGATAAGGCCTCCAGCATCGTATAGCCTCAACAACTGCTAGCATCTCTTTCACGTACACTGACAGACCCAATCGAGTAGTGCCCAGTGCCTTACTGAGATAGGCTAGGGGTCGCCCGTCTTGCACTAGTACAGCTTCAATTCCAATGTCGCTCGCATCGGTGTGTACCTCGAACAAGACATCAAACCTGGGCATGGCGAGTACTGCGTTGTAGTCATGGCTTCTTTCAATTTTCCAAACGCTTCCTCGCTAGCTTCGGTCCATGTGAACCCGCCTTTCTTTGTCATTTCTGTCACTGGCTTGGCGATGGTTCCATAATCTTTCACGAATTTCCGGTAGTAGCCCGTGAGACCTAGGAATCCTCTCAACTGCGTGAGACTAGTTGGCTTAGGCCAATCGACCATAGCCTCAATCTTTCGTGGGTCGACCTTCACGCCCTCGTGTGATATGAAGTGCCCCAAATATTCAACCATCATCTGCCCAAAAGAACATTTGGACGGCTTTATGTGGAACGCGTTGGCCTCCAGAAATTCGAGCACCACTCTCAAATGCCCAAGATGTTCGCCCCATGACTTCGAATAGATCAGGATATCATCAAAGGATACCAGAACGAACTTACGCAGATACTCCTTGAAGATAGAATTCATGGCGAACTGGAAAGTGGATGGGGCGTTGCATAATTCGAACGGCATGACAAGATACTCATAGTGTCCCTGGTGTGTACGAAAGGCCGTCTTGAGAATGTCGGCTTTGTGGAGTCGAATCTGATGGTAACCAGCTCTTAGATCGAGTTTAGAGAAATAGCGTGACCCGGCTAACTCATCGAGCATGTCATCAACACTTGGAATAGAAAATCGGTCCTTGATGGTTGCAGCGTTTAGAGCTCGGTAGTCAGTGCAGAACCTCCACGTGCCGTCTTTCTTTTTGGCTAACAGGACTGGAGAAGAAAACGGACTCTTGCTATGTTGTATTAGTCCTGATTCAAGCATCTCGGCCACTTGCCGTTCGATCTCGGTTTTCTGAAAGTGAGCGTACCTATATGGATGAACGTGGATTGCATGTTGTTCGTTGATCAGAGGTATGCGATGATCGAACTCCCGGTGCGGAGGTAGTCCCTTAGGTTCGCCTAGTACTCCCTCAAATTCCTGGAGAAGCTCGTGCACATCTCCCTATTGTTGCTCCCCTGGATCTATGTGTGCCTCAGTCTTCTCCACTAGTACGACAAATATTTGGCCTCCTCCCTGCCAGACCTTCTCAATACTCTTAAGCCCTACTTCTTTGGCACCTTTTTCAATGCCCGCACTGAGTGTGACTTGCTAACCTCCGGAGTTTAACTCCATGATTCCTGTTCGATAGTCTGTGGTCACCTTGCCTAACCCCTCGAGCCATTGAACCCCTAGGACGACATCTGGCCCAACCAAAGGTAAGGCATAGACATCAGCTTTCACCGTAACTCCGCTGAACCTGATTGGCACCTTCCGAAAGGATTTAGCGAATTGCAGTCTCTCACCATTGGCTACCCGTACCTCAAAAGGTTCAATATTCGTGGTTGGTAAGTTCAGCCTCTGGGACAACTCGGCATTGATGAAGTTGTGTGATGACCCGTTGTCCACTAGCACCACTACCTTTCGATCCTTGACCCAAGCCGACAAGCGCATCGTCTGAGGACCTCGTATCCCGGCCATCGCGTGCATTGAGATTTCTGCTTCTTCGTCAGGCCCTTCAACTATGATATCCTGAGGTGGTTCCTCCTCGTTCTCGGATCCTTCCTCATCGGGATTAGCAACTTCGATTACAAAAGCTTTTTTACACTGATGACCTGGTGTAAACTTCTCCTCACACTTAAAACATAAGCCCTTCTCTCGTCGGCGTTTAATTTCCTCAGGAGACAGCCGCCTCACTATCGACCCTGCTGGCCGATTGTTAACGTTCGGCCGTACGCCGGTCGTGGCTGGGTTCGGCCCCGTGCATCGCGTGTCAGCGTATCGCACATCCGCCCGTCCTCTTCGCGTAGCGACTATATGAGCTTCTCGTCGGCGGGCCACCTCCATGGCGTTATGCATCGTGTCCGGCCGCTCCAATCGGACTTCCGCGGCTAGATCGAATCTCAGTCCTGCTACGAAGGCCCCTACTAGCGCATCTTCAGACCAATCACGCACGCGACAGGCCAGTCGTTCAAACTCCTTAATGTATTCACGCAAACTGCCTGTCTGTCGAATTCGTGCGAGAGCTTCATTATAATTTTGGTAATCGGACGTACCAAAACGTGTGAGCAATTCTTTCTCAAAGTCAGCCCACGTGATGACCTGTTGACGCCTACGGTAGATCCGGGAAAGCCACTGCCACCATACGTTGGCCTCCCTATCTAAGTAGAATGTTGCGTACCTTACTATATCATGGCCATCGGTTTCATTCAGTTCGAAGTATTGCGTGATTCGGTTGAGCCAAGCATCCGGATCGCTACCAGTGAAGATGGACATTACGGACCTTGGCTTTTCGGGCTTCGGTCGCTCTCGGTAAGTGGATGCCTGCGATCGTCGGTCGAACTCATCTTCGTGCTCGTAGCCTCCGTGTCGCCGATCCTCGTCGTGTTCGCGCGCACGTCGTTGCTCGCGTCGATCCTCGCGTCGTGGCGATGGCGTGCGATCGGCATGCTCGGCGTGTGGGTGCGGTTCGCGCCTTGGAGGATCATCGCGATGATGTGGGGGCTGCTGCTGGAACGCGCGCAAGACCTCCTCTAATCGCTGTTCGAGTCGTGTGACAACAGCGTTGGTGTTGTTTTGACTTTCGTCAAGCGATCCCAACCTTCCTTCCATAACCTCGCTCATACTTCGCATCTGGACGTCAAGATTATCGATCTTATCCTTCATCTCCTTGTTGGCCATGGCTTTTCTTTCTTCTCTCCACTCTTTGCCTTGTGGACTCGTGATGGAAGACGATGGTGATGATGATATACGAAATAAATATATATATATATTTTTTTTTTCGATAAGGGGGGGACGAAAAATTGAAGAGAAAAAGAAAGGGAATGGGATAGAAGAAAA